CCGGCAGGAATACAGTCAATACTCTCGGAGACTGCATCCCAGTGGGGACAAGAGGGATGTCTGCTTCCGAAGCACACTCCTGATCCAATCTCTAACACTCACGTACTCACACCAACATAGTCCACAGCAGGACCCTCGGCAGTCGTGAACTATCTCCATGTGGGGACACTCCAGTGCTTCCACACTCTGCTCCCAGTCATACCAATCTGCTGATTGATAGGCAGGATTCAAATACACTTAGATAGCCTATTTAGTGCAGCTGATTTGGACTGCATTGAGCTCATTCACTGTTCTCCTGCACTACAAATAAGCAGCTATACTATTTCAGAACATGTATTTGTCCTAAAAAGCCGTACCACTACGTTTAAGCAGTGCTGAACCCATTTTTTAATAAGCCTTGTTATATCTGAACGAACTATAGGAAGCTAGAACCAGTGTCTTTGCATCCCTGGCACAGCCAATTCTACTTAGTAACTCTACAGAATTCAGGAAAGTTCTTACATGTTTCTAACTGTATGCCTATCTTTAATCGGGCAGCTGTCTCACTGTCCTCAAATTTAAAAAAAAAAAAGAAGAATCTTTGCACGTTCAAAATTCATTTGAACATACACTTCATATGAAGACATGTTAGCTTGAACACAGTACCCGAGACAGAACTCATTAGCTTATAAAACAATCAAAATAGCACAGGATATACCCACATGATTTCAGAACATAGTAGAAGATGTCATAATCCTTGCTCTCTCTTTGGGTATTCCCTGTCTGTAAGTGCGAAACTTGGAACTGTTTTAGTTTTTCTTCAAGATTTCCAAAACTCAGTATAAACTCTGTAGGAAGCCAAGTGAAAAACTTTTCTTTAAAATCCCCGGGAACGTCACATTCCTTAAGAAAGAGTGAAAAGACTTGTCGGTTGTTTTCTTCTATATCAGTCCGCAGAAAATATGATGGATATCCTTGCACAAAGTACTTCGACCCCACTTTTTTAATTTTAACATGAACTCTCCACCAAGGGCCAACTAATGGAAAACGTCCAACTACTTCATACTCCTTTTTGGATTTGTCTTCTTGTATAACAACTGAATCATTAAAAAGAAAAATAAAACCATTGTTAATTGATAGTCATAAAGATTTAAAGTTTGTTTTGATTAAAAGAGTTTTGTTTGTTCGAAGTTAATTTGTGTCTTTCGTATAAGCTGCAGTAGTAAAAGCAAAGCAGAGGTTTTCAAAAACTTCCTGATGTCAGTCCTACCAGCAGAATTTAAAACCAAAAGTAAAACCAGTCTCAGAAACAAGCACTAAAACTGCTTCTCTATGTGTCAGAACTACAAAATTAAACTTGTGTATTAATATTTATTGAGCCAACTAAACACATTGGCATATGGTCTAATATTACACCATTTACGCCAAGTCAAGTTTGCAATAAATTTTAAACAGTTTTGTCAAGAAGTATTGTATCATAGTGCCTGCATTCTCTTCAGATACATTTGTATACCAAATACTTCCTGTAACTGAAACCACCAAAATTACAAGCAATTAATATAATAAACTCTTAATATTTTGTATTACTTGGTTTGCCTTTCCCTCACAAAAATTAATACATCATTCCTCGATCCACAACTGGGGACTAAATGCTATGACCAGAACAAAGCGAGCACCTATGTTTAGCAGGACGTCTTTCTCACCAAACCAGAGGACCAGCAGCTCTTAGGTCTGTAAGAACTTGTCTGTTTATTTTCCCCTTGCCACCGAGCTCAATCTAGCCATTTTTAAAAGAATTTTCAGATAAAGTATTCTTGCTAGACAGAAGTTGCTCCAACATCACCTGCTTTTCTAAGTACTAAATACAAAGTAGGGAATCGTTAACGTCAAGTATCAACACTCTTAGATGTTATAAATG